GAGCAAACTATCACGGCGGGCAGAGGTGAGGCACCAGCCACCTGCTGCCTGCTCCTGGCAGCGCCGAGTAGTTGGGGCAGGCTGCTGCAGACCTAGAGCATAGGCAGTGGCAGGGGGAGGCAAGGACCACTACAGCCTGGTCTGGCCTGGCACCACAGCCCAGGGGTGTAAGCAGCAACTGTCTCGCAGCAACCAGCCCTAAGTGCCTGGTGCTGTCACCTGTGCCCGCTGCAATGGTTTGCTCTGCTGCTGTGATGGCTTGCTCTGCTGCTGCCACCAGGAGGGAGGGGTATGCTGCTGGGGCCAGTCGCTTCCTACACCCCTGGGCTCTGGGGCTGGGCCAGACTGGACTGCACTTCTGGGCCACAGGTCATTTTCACTTCTAATCTATTTTTACTCCTACAACCCCGGTCCTCCTACAACTAAAAAAAACAACAACAAACAAACAAACAAAAAAACAGCCCAAAGAAAAAAACCCACTGCATTAAAACACTTGTAGGTTACCAAGGCATGAACTTGAAAGTTAGGAAATACTAGGCTTAAGAATACAGGTGCAAATTGAATTTGGTCCTTTTGTACGTGTGCATCTAGGATGCTGCCTTTTTACATGATTGCATCCTATTTTTTTCCCTTCGGAATCCTTGACTCATTTATTGAATATTCAATATTTCATTTCATCCTCCTCATTCAATGTGTGGCTGTAGACCTTATTGACCATGCGCATTCACATGAACCAGTAATGAATTAATTTTCTTTACAAAACCTGAACGAGATAGATGGTTGCATCTGTTTACAGTCGAGGAACTGAGAGAGTAATTTTAAAACTGTTAAGTATCCATTTGTTTTGAGTATATACCTTGTAATAATTGAGGACCTACAGTAGTTGTTCAGAGTACATAGGAATTTATAGCATCTCTGTTTACAGTACAGCTCTCACGGACTTTACCTGCACTCCTGAGTATTGAGCATTTGTGCAAATCCAGACCTATGAGTTTCACCTCAGGCATCAGGAACATATAGTTAATGGCCACAATTAATGGTGTATTGGTGTATGTGACTTGCTTGGCAGAGTCACAAAAAAACTCTGACAAGAGGCAGGGACAGAAATCCAATTCATGTGATTTGAACAACCTTCCCTATGGGTGCTGCTACCTATGCCAAATCTAACAATTATGCTACTTTAGCTATAGTAGTATTATTATGTAATTTCTTTTTGGCAAAGTACTACTTCTTTCTGTACACAGGGACCACTTTTAAATCTCAGTCTAATCTCACACTGAAGAAAATAAGCCAGGTACAAATATGTAAAATTACATTTGAGATCAGAACCGGGCCTTGGGAATCAGTGTCCTCAGAGACCTGGACCAGAGGAGATGCTTTTCTAGATGTTTTAATTAAGAAAGTTGGTATACAGAACTTTCAAGCATTGCGCAGTATGTGAAATATGAGCTCCCCAGGGCTGGATTTAAGTTGATACTTCATACATTCTATGGCTTCTGCTGATGTTTCCACACTGCCAACTAACCTTGCTCTCACACTTTCTGACATCAGCAGAACTGGCTAAATGAATTTACTGCTCTGCATTTGACTCGCACATTTCTGTTCTTCTATATTTTGTCATGTCACACTATAATTACAAAGATGGAGTTTATTTTACTGTTTTTAAGTACTTTGAAATTGACACATTGTACATGTGACTTTTAAAAGTGAGTTCACGATCCACCCTGTTCTGCATTGCAGTTGAAAGTGAGAGAGAGAGAGAGAGAGAAACTAAAAAAACCTATTTAAGGCAGCCTGAAGGGCATCTCAGGAACAACTGGAACTGTGACTTGTTAAAAACAGCTGGTGTCATTATGGCTTTGGTTGTCTGGGACCATAACAATAATGCTTGGCACTTTTTATCCGTTGAGGTCATCATTACTTCAATTGTCTAAACGGTGAAACTGAGATGCAGGAAAGTGAAGCGACTTTCTCAAGGTCACCCAGGAGAACTGGAATAAAGCCCAGGTCATTCTACTCCTGTTGTGGTGCTCTAGCCCCCAAGCTGTGCTCCCATCAAAACAAATGATAATGCACCTTGCCATATAACCCATGTCACATGGTAAAGATCCTGAGGGGTTTGGGGTCCCCCTGAAAACAGGTACATGCACGTTTGTGGATATTCTGGAAAGTCTGCAGAGTTTGATCGAGTCTGCTGGAGCATGTAAATTGATGCACTCTGGTACTCTTGTGCGTCATGTATCAGCGGTGTAGCACACCTCTGCGCAGAGAAAATGGCAGTGGTGCATTCTGACCTAAAACACATTCAATATGCTTTAGTTCAAAATGCACTATCGCCATTTTCCCAGTGCGGAGGCGCGCTGCACCACTGATACGTGACGCATGGGTACTTGTAATTAGTACGGCTTGCTAGTTAAAAGTGTCTGGCGCCATATCGGGAGTACGTGTAAAGCTGCTCTAACAGCCCTGCCACATGTTCAAATTAAAGCTCGATAGAAACCCTGATATAAAGTTATTACACATTTTCAAGCACTAACTTTGTAGCTGGTTGGCTCTTTTTATAGCTGAA